CTGTATTCCATGTAGATAAATCTTGGGCAAAGACCAACCGTTCTCAGATAAACCTTGCCTAGACGTATATTATAATCCTTGAGCTAGCTGTATGTATAATTTGTCAGTAGATTGTTGGACTAATATGGTTCCCTCTGGTTTTTTAAAACTAGGTAGGCATTATTTATCTCTCACATTGTCTCACCCCTCCACCATGGTTTCCCCATTTAAGGTACCTCCATTTTTTCCCATTTCTCCTTTAATAATGCCCTTCTCCTATGGTCCCACCTCTCGAGCTCCTTCTTTCCCTTTATCCCCAAGTTTCCTTGTATAACCTTCCCTCCCCCCTCCCCTTAAAATAACCCCATTTTTATCCATATCTCCCTTATTAAGGCCTGTTTCCTACTGTTCTTCTCTTTCAGATTCTTTCTTTTCCTTTACCTCTCTGGTTCCTTTTTATTATCCTGGTTCCTGTAGTTATGTCTGGATACAGATTCACTTATCAGGATTTGGTGCTAGGATCCACATATGAGGGAGAACATACGTCGTTTTTTTGTTTTTTGTTTTTCTGAGTGTGTTACTTCACTTAGTATAACAGTTTCTAGTTCCATTCATTTACCTGAAATTTTCATGATTTCATCTTTCTTTACTGCTGAGTAAAACTCCATCATGTAAATGAACCACATTTTCATTATCCACTCGACAGTTGAGGGATATTTAGGTTGCTTCCATCTCTTAGCTCTTATGAAAAGAGCAGCAACAAACATGGATGTACAAGTGTCTCTGCAATAGAATGAGTTCTTTGGGTGTATGCCAAGGAGTGGTATAAGTGGGTCAGATGTTAGGTTCATTTGTAGTTTTTTAAGAATTCTCCATACTGCTTTCCATAGAGGTTATACAAGTTTGCAGTCCCACCAGCAGTGGATGAGTGTTCCCCTTTCCCCACATCCTCTCCAACATTTGGTATCATTTGTTCTCTTGATCTTAGCCGGTTCGACTGTGGTAAGATGAAATCTTAAAGTGGTTTTAGTTTGCATTTCACTAATTACTAGTGATGTTGAACACCTTTTAAGATGCTTTTTAGCCATCTTTATTTCTTCTTTTTGAGAACTCTGTTCAGCTCCTTAGCACGTCTTTTAATTGGATTACTTCCTTTCTTGATTATTTTTTGAGTTCGTTATATATTCTGGATGTTAAACCTCTGTCAGATGTGTTGCTGGTGAAGATTTTCTCCCATTCTGTGGGTTTTCAGTTCGTTTCCTTGGTTGTCTCCTTTGATGTACAGAAGCTTTTTAGTTTAATGAGGTCCCACTTTTTAAATCTTGCCCTTGTTTCCTGGGCTATTGGTGTCCGGTTTAGAAAGTCCTTTCCTACACCTATATCTTGTAGGTTTTTCCCAATGTTTTCTTCTAAGAGTTTCAGAGTTTCAGGCTTTACATTGAGGTCTTTGAGCCACTTGGAATTGACTTTTGTGCAGGGTGAAAGATAGGGGTTAATTTTCATTCTTCTGTAAGTGGAGATCCAGTTTTGCTCGCACCATTTGCCGAACATGCTGTCTTTCCTCCAGTTGATGTTCTTGGCCCCTTTGTCAAATATCAGGTGGCT